CCCCGTGGGTGCGTCCGGTTGCGAATTCACCCGCCGGTAATTAAAGTCTCTCTCCTCCTCCCTCCTTCTTCCAGCAGTCTTCTTCTCTCCCGTTCTCTCTCTCTCTCTCTTTCTCCCTCTCTCTCTTATCCTCCGTCTCGTCCTCCCGGCCCTCCCACGGTCCTTCAGGGTTCCAGCCGATACGCGATAGGAGGACGCGTCGCCGGAAGTTCTTCCATGCAGCCCTGTATCGTCGCACGGCGAAATGAACTTTTTCTTCCTCATCCTCGGCTCGATGAACAGCCTCGTCTCCTCCGGCTCTACGACGGGGATGTCGGCTGCGGTGCCCGGGTTCGCCGCGACCCGCAGTGTTATTTTATCAATTATGTACAATTATTCTGTGCCGATGTTATAGGCTGAATTGCTGAACTTGCGAATAAATGTTGTTCGATCGAGGAGAGGAGATTCTTCGGGAATTCTTTTCGGAAAAATTGGTGGATCTTCGTTAGACGCGGACGCGTTTATTTTACGGCTGGCGGAGGAGACTTCGTTGCTCGGGCATTTTTCAAGATTTTCCCTTGGAAAAAATAGAGTATATTCTGTAAAGTATGCACTTTTAAGCGAGACGCTGCTCCAGGGAAAAGCACCGTTCATTTCTTCGGGAAAAAATCCTAACGCGCGCTTCGAAATAATGGGCTTATTTGGGAGCAAAGTCTATGCAATTTATCAGGGAAAATTCCGAGAAACCTGGTTTCTTTTGGAGTCATTAATCGGACACCGTGCTACTAAAATATTAACCCCGTAACACCGTAGCGGACGGGCCGAATCGGTAATTTTAATAACGCGAGATTAAACCGGTGGCGGTTCTCGTCCGCTCGCGTTCGCATCGGAATACGAAATGTTTCGCAGCGTTCCGCGAGCGGAACGGCGACCGTCGCGGTACCAGACGCATTACCGCGAGATATTAGTGTAAAACGGTGTCGACTGTTCAAGCACCCTTTCCAGTAATTATTCCGTCGCGCCCTTTCACGGCGATTCGCCCGCGACGGCGGCGGAACGCGCCGCGGACGATCGAACGTCCGCGTTATTCACGCTCTCCGACGATGCTCTCTCTCTCTCGGCAACCATAACCGTTCGGGCTCCTGTTCTTCCGACAGCTTATGCAACGTGTCTATCGCACGCTGCTTTCCTCGATTCGTCTCGAAAATTGCCGTACAACGCTCGGTTAGGCCGAACTACGATAATGCCTCCCTAACTGACGCTCAGATTGTGCACCAAATTGGACAATTTGGGAAGAGGAGATACGATTTTCCGAGCGCTCCATCTAGTTTCTATAATCGTTGACAATCGGTAACTATAAAAATGAGTGGCAAGGCTCGAATAATCGTATCTCCTCTTACCAAATTGTCCAATTTTGTGGACAATCCGAGCGTCAATTAGAGAGACGTTACTGTGTACTTCGTCGATTTGTTTTCCAACGAATGACCGAGATATTTTTGTTCTTTGTTTCCCGAAGTTCGTTTTCCGTCCACGATTGTTACCACAAGGATCTTCATTCTCCAGAAAGTCGAGTTTGAAAATTCATCGGATACGCGCGCATTTGGACGCGGTTTGATTCGCTTTCCCGGTCTGTGAAATCGCGTCCAAGTGCGCGCGGATTTTCAGCCTCGATTCTCCAGGAAACGAAGCTCTGTACGAAGACAGATTTTATTCCACGCATCCGGCACAGTTTCATGTAAGAAAGCACTCTCTTCTCGGTTGCGCCACGATTTCCCGAGCACCCTGTACAGGGTCCCAAAAATGTCTCGCAATCCGAAAGTGGCGGGTTCCTCGGGTCGTTCGAAGCAACTTTTTCCTTTACAAAAATTTTCTCCGAGACATCGTTAACGAATTATTAACGAAAAACAGTGACCAATGAGAGGCGAGCTCGGCTGGCGCGAGGCGGCCGTACTCGATTCTTATTGGTCACCGTTTTTCGTTGATAACTCGTTAACGGTGCCTCGGAGAATATTTGTGTAAAGGAAGAAGTTGTTTCAAATGATCCGTGGAACCCGCCATTTCCGGATTGCGAGACATTTTTTGGATAATAAGTATCCTAGAAAAGTACGTCTCTCCGACGCTCGAAAAGAACACGCGGGAATACCAAAAATCCTTGGAATAATTATCGTGTACGCTGGAAAATTAGCGGATCCGCGCTAATGATCGACGAAGTAACCGATTCTCTTCTCCCCACGGCGCTTTATTTGGCGCGGCCATCTTTAATCCTCCGCGGTCGTAAATGTATTTAAATGCGCGGGCTTCGCGGCCGTGAACGGCGCGCGTGAAAAACGTAATTACCGCGTCGTCGAACGGTTTATCGGGGACGAAATCTCCGCGAAGCGGAACGCGTGTCCATTCAGAAGGGATTACACGAGCGTTTAGCGACAGCACCGCGACGCTAGTCGGCCGTTAGTCAAGCCCGGGCCACCCCTTTCGCGGAGCCGAATTGCACTTCGACGAGAGGGCTGGCCCAGTAATCTGCCCCTATTCAGTTCGCACCCCTAAAACCCAAAGCCCCGCGTGCCCCTCGCGCCGACCCGCCCGACGACGCCCCTATTGCTGCTTCGGCCGCCGTATCATCTCGCTCGCCGTTTTTACAAATAAATTCGGAACGCCCGAGAAGAGAAGGCTCTCGTAAATTACCGACGGAGACAAAGAACCCGGCCGCCGAATTTCGTTGGAAATTATTTCCGAAACGATCTCGCACCGTGACGAACGGTCTTCTTCGCGCTCTAAGCGTTCCCAGCGAGGCCGCGCGTTTTTTGCACGAATTATCCGCAAAATCTTGGCGACATTATACGCGACGATTCGGGCGGGTCGTTTAGGCCGAGGACAACGGAATTACAACTTTTTGTTGCGCCGCGAGCATCGTGGGAAACGTTGCGGATCTTTTTGCGCATGGCGGTGTATAGTTCCATGATTCATTTTTAGGTTATCAGATATTTATTTTGCTGTATTTTATTTACTTTTTTGTTTTTGTCTTTTACTTCATTTGAGAACGAATTTTATGTGGAAGCAGAAACTCGTTTGTTCCTAATACATTAAAAAGTATAAGTAGAAAAGATCGTAGCTAATTTAAGGATGCCTTTGGAAAAATTCTGAGACGCTGAAATTATTATCGGAACAAATGGATCGTCGTGGAAAAATGTCTGACGCGTGAAAGGCGTTCTAGGAATAATTGTAATCAAGCGAAAGACGCTGCGAACAAAATTCTTTGTTCGTTAAGAATACTTTAAAAAAAGAATCCTAAAGCACTGAAATCGCAACGGAGATTAATATTAGCCGCTCTGATGGCACTATGGGAATAATTGGAGTGCAACGGGAGCACGGAAAAATGTGTACAGACAATGGTAAAAATTCAAATACCAAAGAAAGGAATTCCAAGCTCTGCGAAATTCCTCGCGGGACGATCTTCGATGCGGAAAAAGGTGTTCCAGGAAAAATTCTGACGCTTCGCGGACGTCGCGGATAGAAAATATGGACGCCTAGAGGGAGATTGGGAGCCGCTGGCCTAGATCGCGGCAGATTATACGGCTTTTAAATCTGCATACGCATCGAAACGTCGATTCTCATAATTCTCCTCGGTCAAATTGAATAGAAAGGCACCGGTGTCTCGGGCCGGCCGTGGCGATCGACGGTGTGACCACCTCTTCCCTTTTTCTCTCGAATACAGGACAGGTTCCCCGCTCGTCCGAAGTTTCATTTAAAACAGGTTCCGGAGCGCCGTTGGCCTTATTATTAACCATCGACGCGACGGCGAGCGTGCGGGGCACACCGCGATGCAATTTGTCGTCGGCGACGGCCGTTCGCGGTTTAATGTCCCGCTCGATCCGTTTAATAAAATCTTAATAGCGTTTCAATCGGCCGGTGCCCACCGGTCCGACCCCTCCCGCGAAAATCCCATAGTCGCGTTCGCGCGGACGGACTCGCGTGAAAATTAAGCGGCCCATACGTATGTACGCTTTGCACGGAAAAAAAGACACGATCGCTTCTCCGGACACTTTTAGAGCAATTTACGGCATCGTCGACGCGTCGGCAGACAAATTTTTCGAAACGAAGAAGCGCTCGACGATTTCACTGTCGCGCCGACGACCTCCAAAATTCCATCGAATTGATATAATTTGTCGAAAGAATTTTTAACGTGAAAACTAACCAATCCGTAAAACCAAGGAATTCAATTAAATTTTAAATTCGATCGAAATGAACCGTTTTACTGCTGAGGAGCGCTATCGCGCTTTTCTTATGTTGTGCCAAAAATGCGAAGAACGCGATAACGCTCCTGTTTCTTTTTAATGCCAAGATTGCGGAGAGCGAAATAACGCTGCTCTAAATCACTAGAATTTGTGCTTACTACCAATTTTATTCGCAAAATTAATGAAACCAAATTTATGTAAATAAGTGGTAACTTTTAATTTTTGTTGTTGCAAAGCGATACAAGTGAGTTTATCGTATGAAAAGTGTATTTTTTCCCATACACGCGAAATTAGTGCCGCAGTTTTGGCATATGTCCGAAAAAATAGGTCAGCAGCCAAACGGTTAATCGAACGTAATAGATCGTCGTAAGAATTGCTTTTCGAATCTGAGCAAATAACTCGATGTTGCGAACGATGAAAGCACAGCTTTGCAATCGGGGAATATTTTCGCGAGAAAATACGCGAATCGTGATATAAAAGGTACCGGGATGATCTGTGATGATTGCGATTCGGCAGAGATTTCCGGTATAATTTCCCGCGAATCATCGTTCATCTCCGTCGAAAGAATATGCTCCGCTAACGACGCGAATATTTAGTCGGAACCGCGGCGGCGACGGCTCCGCGATTAGAATTCCTTTTCAGTTTCTCGGTTTTCCATTTTTCTTGGACGCGAACGCTTTCTTTCCTTGGCACTCGTGCTCGGCAACTTTTGATCGTCCCGACGAAATTTGAATATGTTTGCGAGTTCGCACGATTTACGGGGCCTTGTTCCCACCGTCTATTTTCCAGGTCTGAAGTACCTTCATTCCGCCCGGATTTTGCACAGGGACATCAAGCCGGGAAATTTATTAGTGAACAGCAACTGTGTACTTAAGGTAACTATTTCACCCGTTCCAGATTTTTTAACTTTGACATAATTGCGACTTGCTTTTCCAACCGATTCCGATCATGCTGAAAAATCTATCGTCGCCCGAACTCGGTTACGAAGACTTGCAAAATTAGACCCGCGTGCCTAAATACAGTAATGTCTCCCTTACCGACGCGCTCAGATTGTCCACTAAAATGGATAATTAAGAGGAGATACGAATATTCGAGCGTTGCGGCTTGTTTTTATCATTGTGGACAATTTATAACTATAAAAATAAACCGCAAGACTCGAACAATCGGATCTCCTCTTCCCAAATTGTCCAATTTTGTGGTCAATCCGGACGTCAATTAGAGAGATATTACTGTAAGCGTGGAAACTCGCGGCAATACGATGAAACACCGCGATCTAATTGGGAAAAATAGAACGCGTCGAAGCCGCACCGCTAAAAATCGAGGCTTGCAGATTGCGAGTAAATTCGCAAGCTTTCTCGCGACGCGGCAGATCGACGATTCGATCGAGAAATCGTCGATCTAGCCGCAACGTTTCGTACAGTTTCGCCGAAGAGTCAACGATCGGCCGAGTTTTCGAAAAGACGCCCGATCGAAGGCTGGCTCGCAGCGCGAATAATTCGTTTGTGGCCCAGATCTGCGACTTCGGACTGGCCCGAGTGGAGGAAACGGACCAGAACAGGCCCATGACCCAGGAAGTGGTGACGCAGTATTATCGCGCGCCGGAAATCCTGATGGGAGCGCGATACTACACGGACGCCGTGGACGTTTGGAGCGTCGGCTGTATTTTCGGCGAACTCCTTCGCCGGAGGATCCTCTTCCAGGCACAGAGTCCCGTGCAACAGGTTAGTCCTTTCCATGGTTGAATCATTAACAAGTCTATTATCGTCCCGCCACGTGTCCCCGCCAACGATGAGAGATTCATGAAACACCCGGGACAATTTCTTTCGCTGTCGCCGCGTGAAAATCGCTGACGAGACTCGAAGGATTTCCGCCGCGACGCCCGGCGACTCTCGGGATTTCTGTCGCGCTTCCAAGACGGATCCCCGTCCTACGAGTGTTTTACCTTGGTTCCGTTCGAAACCGCTCGTACATTCGCCGGGCTAAATGGAAATCTACGCGTTGAAATACAGGGTGTCCCAAAAATGTCTCGCGATCCGAAAGTGGCGGGTTCCTCGGGTCGTTCGAAGTAACTTTTCCCTTTACAAAAATTTTCTCCNAAAATGTCTCGCGATCCGAAAGTGGCGGGTTCCTCGGGTCGTTCGAAGTAACTTTTCCCTTTACAAAAATTTTCTCCGAGACATCGTTAACGAATTATTAACGAAAAACAGTGACCAATGAGAGGCGAGCTCGGCTGGCGCGAGGCGGCCGAGCCAATGCGCGGACTGTCTCTTATACACATCTAGATGTGTATAAGAGACAGTCCGCGCATTGGCTCGGCCGCCTCGCGCCAGCCGAGCTCGCCTCTCATTGGTCACTGTTTTTCGTTAATAATTCGTTAACGATGTCTCGGAGAAAATTTTTGTAAAGGGAAAAGTTACTTCGAACGACCCGAGGAACCCGCCACTTTCGGATCGCGAGACATTTTTGGGACACCCTGTATAAAAAATAAATCCTGCATCGCGGCGATTTCTCTTACGTTCTTCGAATGAATCGACGGTAACACCGGGACTTGCGAAAATTCTGCGGGAAGTTCTATAAAAATCGGGTCGGAAGTGCATGCTTAATTTCATGCTTTTCGATGTATGTAAGTCGGTCGTAAAGCCTGGTTATAGCGTTCGAGAATAGTCTGGAAATGAAATCGATCCGGTCGTATAACTCGCCGCCATTAATATTTCTGACATGACGACGCCGGGAAGAACATTGAGGCAATAAATTCGATTTGGCGATTAATTTCATCGAGATCTCGGCTGTATAATTTTGGGAATTGAATTAAGGAAAATTCGACGCAGCGAAAATCACGGTAGGATCGTTTCAGAAAGTCCCGACAAAATCGAATTAACGATTAATGTAAGAGACGGTCGCGGGAAGGGTTGATACTCGCGATTAACCTAGCCGGACCTAAGCGATGAACCTTAACGTCGCGATAATGAAAAAAATTGTTAAGCGAGGGCCGATACGATAGTATAGCAATATTTTTGTTATATTCTATTTTATTCTATTTTGTAATCTATTATATTCTACAATATTGCAGTCGTTACTGATATGATAGTATAGCAATATTTCTATTATATTCGATTTTATAATCTATTATATTCTACAATATTGCAGTCGTTACTGATATGATAGCATAGCAATATTTCTATTATATTCTATTTTATTCACAATTTTACAATCCACTATATTTTACGATGTTGCAGTCGTGTTACAAAAGTGTCTCGCAATTTAAAATTGAGGGTTTCTGAGGTTATTCAAAGTTACTTTTCCCTCGGCAAAAATGCAATCCGCGGCTAACCTAACCTCGTAGAAACGATGTCGGGCCAAACGGTCGTTAATATCAGAAATCAAACATTAGAAACGGGTTAATTATCGCGGAGTCTCCGTTTGAAAATTGTCCCGGCAAAGGTTTCCGGAATCAATTGCAGGAAAATCGAGGCCGGTACAAGACCAGTTCGGAAAAGTGCCGGGTGAAGTCGCGTCAGCGATCAAAGCCTGGGCTCGGAAGAGAGAGAGAGAGAGAGAGGGGGGGGGGTTGGTTGACTTTCACGATTCGTTTTCCGCCGGTGGCCGTCGTAAAACTGTTTTCAGGATCTCCTTGGCGTCGCCCGTGGGTCGGTAGCCGGCATCCAGCGCCCAGACCCCGGCACCCTCTCCGATCCCGGCAGGCTCTCCCCGCCGATCCCCACCGATCCCCCTCGATCCCCGCGGCTCCCCACGGAAAATGACCGCGTTATAAACTCTCGCACGTACACGTTCGCTTGCAGCTGGAGCTGATCACGGAATTGCTGGGCACGCCGAGCCCCGAGGACATGAGGTACGCGTGCGAGGGTGCGAGATCCCACATGCTGAGGCGTGCACCGAAGCCGCCCTCGCTGACGGCCCTCTACACCCTCAGCAGCCAGGCGACGCACGAGGCCGTCCATTTGCTCTGCCAGATGCTAGTCTTCGATCCCGTAAGTTTCTACCGCCGACACACGCACACACCCTCGCCCTCTTAAGACCGTGGATTCGCGGTGCCGACGACAGTCCTCTCTCCCCCCCGTCGACACCCATCCACGAGTCCCCCCGCGGGTCCACCCGCGAGTCTCGCGTCTCGCAGAGGGGTCGACGGGCAACAAGATTTCGAGCCTCTCTCGAATTCTGCTCCGAGGAGACCTTTCACGGCCGGAATCCTTTATCGGTCTTCTCGCGCTCTATCTTTTCACACTCTTTGCTCGTACTGTTCCGCTTTATAAGAATCTTAGCATGTTTTATTCCGTTCTATTTGCGTGTCTCGCGCGCTGCTGTCTTCTCCATTTTTACAGATTCACGGTTACTTCGCTTCTTTTTCCCGTAGCGAAAACGATATTTTGTAAGGTATCGACGGAGACTGTCGTGTGATCAGGTAAAGATATTCCAGCGAAAAATCCAAGAAAGATTCCGCGTTGTCGAATTGACGGAGGGTACGTCTCGTTCGAAGCTCGATAAAACGATGCAGAAAAATCGTGGATCAATTTCTGTCGGGTCGTTGCAAAGCGGAAGCTTCGATCTTCGAATCCACGGGAAACGCGATCGCGAAGAAAATTCGTCGATGTTTTTGGAGACATTTCAATCTCACGGTATCTCTCGGACAGAAATGTGCCTCCAGTCTTCTGTCCGCTGTACGACGAACAAACTTAACGTTTTCATGTAAAAAAGTTCGTATATTTTTCGCGGATGAATTACCAGCGAGTAGACAAATTTAAACAGCCCCGATTTTCTCTGATCGGTGAATCGATTACGAAGGAGAATCAACGTAACAAGACGTTTCTGCAACATTCGGGCTAAAAACTGTGACACGAACGAGTTACGTCGAGCCAGCGAGAGTCGAAACGAGTCCGTGCCGATCGCAAATTAACACTATGCCGTCCGCAGATCTTAGATATGATTCTTTCGTTCGACGCGTAATAGCATAATAGCTTGGAAATTTTAGATTTTAAAAAAATGTCGAAGATGGCGGTAATACAAATTCCTAAAATTAAGATACGTCGTCCAAGAATTTTCATGCTTAATTCTTAGTTAAATGAGCACAATGCTATAGTTAGTTTGCTGCCTTTTAACACCCAAGAAATATAGTTTAAATGTTACTTCGGTTTTTTGAAAATGGCACCTGTTGATTATTTGTTTGCGACAAACGTTGCAGCTTGCAACAACGCGTTGTTTTCGTCTAATTGAATCTTCGAGGCGTTCTCGTGCCAGCGAGTCGGAACATTGACTTCCCTTTCGATCGTGCAATGTCTCCCTAACTGACGCCCGGATTGTCCACAGAAATGGACAATTTGGGAAGAGGAGAAACGAGCTGCAAGGCTCGAATTCGCAAGGCTGCTCTTCTCAAATTGTCGATTTTTCTGGACAATATGAGCGTCAATTAGGGAGACATTACTGTACGCGTTCGACGTTTCGTGTCCGAAGTGGAAAAATCGACGCGAGCGCAACATTTCGTACGCAAAATCGCCGAGGGTGAAACGCTTCTATTGGTCGCTCTTACGAATTTAATCGTCTCGGGACCCTTTCCTTCGATTCGTCGCGGTATGAAAATATCCCGTCCGCAAATTTCGAGCTGTTGATTATTTGCTTGCAAACAATTAAAGACAGAGTTTTAGGTAAAAGTATATTTATTGAACACACGGAAACACAAGACCTGATATACAGGCTTGCTCGTAAGAGCTTAGAGACAACGAGCGTACTCGTAAGCTGCTCACAGACGACTGACTAAAAAACCGCGGAAGACACGCAAACTGTGGGTCGGAAAATCCTTAGTGGTCATAAATAACCGATCCGCTCTCACGCCGCGTGTAACGGACTTTCGAGTCAAAATTTGCTCGACTCGAGTCGACGCGCGTTTAGCGCTCACGCGCCCTGCAGATGGGCCGCAAGGGCCGTTTTACCTGAAAAAAACGGACAAGGCCGTAAAACGTACAAAGTACCCATTTTCAATAGCATCGAAAATGCCAGACATTTACACAAACGCTGTTTCGAGGAGGGCGACTTCGCGATTTCGCGATTTTTTACGGCAAATCTCGGAGAGCGAGCTTAATTGATCCAGACATTTACAGCACCAAAGTGGTACCACCGGCATACAACGGATAGTTTTTGCATGGCACCAGCGTGGTGCCACCCGACGGCATAGTGTTAAGAAGCTTTATAGACAGTCGAAAGATGGACAACTTCGGCGAAAAAAAAAGAAAATCCATATCGTTGGCAGAAAGTAGCGCGGCGAGGTTCGAAAGTCGGAGATTCGGAAATCCCTGGTGGTCCGAACGATCGAATCCACGACCCAGGTGACCTACAGAGCGTCCGCGTCCCGTTGAATTTATTAATCGATAATTCATCGGTCGGACGAAGGGAGCAATCGCGGTGCCGGCCGTTAATCCAAATCCGTCGGATCGATCGCCGGGAGAACGAGAGAGCGTCCCGTCGAATTTATACGTCCCGGTCCCGGCCCCGGCAAGCTCGCGCGCTTTTTCTCCCCCGTGTCCCCCCGTTGCCGTCGCACAGCAGCAGCAGCAGCAGCCCCCCTTGGCTGCAGGGAGAGTAACACGGTTAACTAGCCTCATAAATAGCGAGGACCCCGGGTCGGGTCTCTCTCGGGCCGCCGCTCCGCGCCGCGCCTCGCCGAGCCGCGCCGTTTTCGACCGGGCTCTATCGATCGTTCGTTGACCCCGTTCCATGAACTTCCCGCAGGACAAGAGGATCACCGTGGTGGACGCCCTGGCGCATCCTTACCTCGACGAAGGAAGGCTCAGATATCATTCGTGCATGTGCACGTGCTGTTACACGACCAGCGGTGGCATGAGACAGTACACCGGTGACTTCGAGCCGGACTCCTCTCACCTGTTCAACGATCTCTGGGAACGGAGACTCACCACCGTGCAGCAAGTGAAAGGTGAGCGACCCCGTTGCTTTTTTTGGGAATTCGATCCCTTTGACGCACCCGCTGCCGCGTCGACCTCGTGTCGATCGTTTCGGAAAATTCGAGCACTTTGTTCCAGCGAATTCACGTTGGAAAGTCGTGGTTGCACGACGTCGATTATTATTACTGTTCCCGACGTTTCTTTCTTCGTTTCGAGCGGTCCGATCAGAATAGGGAGACGCGGTAGATTCGTTGCGCTTCAAATCGGAGCCCACGCAGGGGTGGCGACGGTAAGGGGGAAAGCGTAGGGGGGGTATTTTGGTTTTAACCCATTGACTGGCAACTACGAGATATCTCGTAGTAAGCGTGTGTACCAAAACTGCCAGCTACGAGATATTTCGTAGCGGGTGCTGCGAGTTTAGATTGGCTACAAATGGCTATTCGAGTTGGGAACTATTAGAAAGGATGAATGTGAAAAATGTATACAATGTAGAGAACGTATTGATTATCAATAAAAAAATACTGTAAATGCCATTGCAATACTATATCGGTAACTTAACCCTTTGCACTCGAAGCTATTTCAACCGAAAATATAAAATCATTTTTCTAATTTACAGTGTTTCTATTTTATATGAGAAAATGCATTTTATGCATATATGAAAATTGACTCTTGGGACTCGCGCAATAGTTACACTCTTAACAATTTTTCAAATGTAAACTTTGTTAATATCAAAATTATTCTAAAAGGTGATATAACAAATATTAGTGGTGCCTCGGAGTCGCCACTCGAGTGCAAAGGGTTATTATCGCAAGCAAAGGGTTAGTATTGATTATCAATTAAAAAAATTCTGTAAATGCCATTGCAATATTATATCGGTAACTCTTAATATTATTATATTTGGTAAAACTTCGTGTTTTCTTTGAAATAAAACCGCGGCACCCAGGGCAAGACGCGCTAAATTTGCGTGGCAGTCAATGGGTTAACCTTTATAAAGTCTTGGTATTTAACACGTTGAGCGCCGCGTCAGTCACATATGGGTGACTCTAATTTTTCACCAATTTTGAAAATTCATTTTCATTGTAACATATTGGAACAAACTGAATTTGACTAGGACCTTTCGGATGCGAAAGAGTTCTAATGTCATCCACTATGATAAACATTAACTTTCTAGTTTCGGTTTAATTCATTAAATCGCTTTGACCTCGTGGGAATTGTAGTAGTTGATTGTAGGCGCTGAACATGTTAATGGAGCAAGAAACGTGCCGAACAAATTTATAAAGGAAAATACAAAAGGATTGATAGTTTTTTTTTTAGACAAGATTCGCATAAGTTGTTTCAAATATCGCGATCGAAACCGGAATACCCCCCTTAGTCGCCAATAAAAAAAGTGCGAAGATCTCTAATCGGTTAGATCATCTTCGAGGTCCAACATCATTTAGCTGTCATCTTCAAAATCCTTTTGGAAAGACGATCGAGAGAATTGGAAATTTTGTTCTTCTACTCTGCAAAGCTTCGAGAGCACCGACGCATGTAATTTGTCATTTTTCAAATTGATTCATTACTATTTTCGCAAGAAATTATGGTTCATTGATTTATTAGTTTCATTATTGTTATCATATACTCTTGCTCGTGTACTAGCTGTTGTTTTAACATTGTCTCTCGCATTCTATAACAAAAAGTTCATTCTGTTCAAGAATAAACATTATTATTATTATTATTATTATTATTATATGCGGTTTCGGAAATGAGACATGTGCGTGTTCCATTTCGCGAAATGATTCACGGTTCTTTTTATAAAGTTCGTTCGAAGCACCGAACAAGAAAGCATCGCTCCAGAAATATTTGAGATTTTCTTGTTTTTTTAGGGAAAATGATGAGCGCGCAAAAGAAATGTTCGATCTCATTCTGCGAAGCTTCCAGAGAAAGAGAGAGAGAGAGAGAGTACGAAAATACATTCGTTTTCCAAAACAATCGGCCGTCTTCCCGAAATTCCCCGAAGTTCGCTGTACTTTCCGATGCGCGAGAGGTTTCGCTCGCCTCGCCCACCGACAATAAGATCCTACGACGAAGATAGTTCCCGGGCGAGAATAGAAAATTAATTAGCCGCGAGAATAGGGAAAAGGTAGAAAAGAAATGTTGGTAGTGAGTCAGAGGCTTATTATTAATAGCGTTGCGTCCCGGACACACGTGGCACGTCGCGCGGCGACGAGAACAATGATGCGATAGACTCTCGCGTGTGCTTAGAACGAACGGCTCCAACGCTACGATAACCCATAATTTATCACCTGACCAGGGGACCGTGAAGTTAACGTATGCCTTTTTTCCCCCGCCCCCCGTAATCGCCACGAAACTGGGTAACTAATATCGCGGTTAAAAATTGCGGCCCGCGTCCGCGCCCGCGCGCGCGCGTACACGTTCCTAGGGGGTTGCTAAGGCCGGATCGAACGGTTTCCCCGCGAAAAAAAAAGAAAAGAAAATAGGTTTGGACCTCGGAGAATTATGCTAGGGCGTTCCGGGAAATATCGCCGACTTCGGAACTGTAATGTACCGTCGGCGATAATATTTTTCAGCGAATTATTTATATCCGAGATCGCAAGCTTCGCGTCGTCCATCGCGCGCTCCACCGAGATCAAGTCTTTACACATTTATTCGATCGGATCGATCTATAATGCCGGTGCTATTACGACAGGGGAGAAAGCACCGTTCGGAATCATAGTAATTAGGCTTGCGGATCTATCGCATTCGCGATAAGAGCGAGTAAGTGGAATCTGAAACGAGTAGGTGCGGGAATTAAGTCATTTTTGTAGAACATTCGTGTACGATTTTCAAGCGATACAAATAATTGTAAAAGATCGTCGAAGGAAACGGTAATTATATGTACGATAAATTTGTTCTTAATCGACGCTCAGATTCTGCACAAAAATGGACGATTTGCGGCGAGGCTCGAACAAGCGTATCCTCTTTTCCCAAATTGTCCATTTTTGCGCAAAATCTGAACGTCGATTAAGTTTATCTTCGGCTAAACTTTCGTTTTGCATAAAGATCCGCAGTCAGGCTGTTCGAACATTTTATGAAATTGTTGTAAAGCGTTGCTGATAACACGGTAAATTCTCCCTAATTTTCCTCCAGCTTGCAAACAGAAATGGACAATTTGGGAAGAGCGGATACGTTTTCATAACTAGTGGCAATCGGCGAGTATAAAAATTGTGCACTTTTGTTTACAAGCTGAAGAAAAAATTGTGGAGAATCGACTGTACTTCTCTGCAAGATCTGTTGCAGCCGGTCGAAGCGGAGCTCCCGACGAACAGCTCGCCGCGATCGGGAGCTCGTCTTCGATCGGACGGAACGATCGGGAGCCGCTGCCTGTGCAGCCAGTTTCTCACCCTAAAATCGACGGTTGTCTGTTTCAGAGGAAATGCATAAATTTATAGCGGAACAACTCAATACATCGCGCGTGCCGCTCTGCATAAATCCGCAGTCCGCGGCGTTCAAGAGCTTCGCAAG